AATGCTAGAGTATGTATGGGGGATGCGTGGGAATTGTAGTGGAGAGGGAAGGGAAATGATAGTAGGGAATTAGGTGCATACAAGTGAGTAATGGAGTGAGGAGGGTGGAGGGTTGAGAGGGTGATTGGGTAGTTGAGAAGGTGGGCGGATGGTTGAGAGAAGGTGGGTGGATGGTTGAGAAGGTGGGTGGATGGTTGAGAAGGTGGGCGGATGGTGAGAAGTGTGGGCGGATGGTTGAGAAGGTGGGTGGATGGTTGAGAAGGTGGGTGGATGGTTGAGAAGGTGGGCGGATGGTTGAGAAGGTGGGTGGATGGTTGAGAAGGTGGGTGGATGGTTGAGAAGGTGGGTGGATAGTTGAGAAGGTGGGTGGATGGTTGAGAAGGTGGGTGGATGGTTGAGAGGGTGAGTGGGTAGTTGAGAAGGTGGGCGGATGGTTGAGAAGTGTGGATGGATGGTTGAGAAGGTGGGTGGATGGTTGAGAGGGTGGGTGGATGGTTGAGAAGGTGCGTTGATGGTTGAGAAGGTGGATGGATGGTTGAGAGGGTGGGTGGATAGTTGAGAGGGTGAGTGGATGGTTGAGAGGGTGGGTGGATGGTTGAGAAGGTGCGTTGATGGTTGAGAAGGTGGATGGATGGTTGAGAGGGTGGGTGGATAGTTGAGAGGGTGAGTGGATGGTTGAGAAGATGGGTGGATGGTTGAGAGGGTGGGTGGATGGTTGAGAGGGTGGGTGGATGGTTGAGAGGGTGAGTGGATGGTTGAGAGGGTGGGTGGATGGTTGAGAGGGTGAGTGGATGGTTGAGAAGATGGGAGGATGGTTGAGAAGGTGGGTGGGTGGTTGAGAGGGTGGGTGGATGGTTGAGAGGGTGAGTGGATGGTTGAGAAGATGGGTGGATGGTTGAGAGGGTGGGTGGATGGTTGAGAGGGTGGGTGGATGGTTGAGAGGGTGGGTGGATGGTTGAGAGGGTGAGTGGATGGTTGAGAGGGTGGGTGGGTGGTTGAGAAGGGGGTGGGTGGTTGAGAGGGTGAGTGGATGGTTGAGAAGATGGGTGGATGGTTGAGAGGGTGAGTGGATGGTTGAGAGGGTGGGTGGATGGTTGAGAGGGTGAGTGGATGGTTGAGAAGATGGGTGGATGGTTGAGAAGGTGGGTGGGTGGTTGAGAGGGTGGGTGGATGGTTGAGAGGGTGAGTGGATGGTTGAGAGGGTGAGTGGATGGTTGAGAGGGTGGGTGGGTGGTTGAGAAGGTGGGTGGGTGGTTGAGAGGGTGAGTGGATGGTTGAGAGATGGGTGGATGGTTGAGAGGGTGAGTGGATGGTTGAGAGGGTGGGTGGATGGTTGAGAGGGTGAGTGGATGGTTGAGAAGATGGGTGGATGGTTGAGAAGGTGGGTGGGTGGTTGAGAGGGTGGGTGGATGGTTGAGAGGGTGAGTGGATGGTTGAGAGGGTGGGTGGATAGTTGAGAGGGTGGGTGGATAGTTGAGAGGGTGGGTGGATAGTTGAGAGGGTGGGGTGGATGGTTGAGACGGTGAGTGGATGGTTGAGAAGGTGGGTGGATAGTTGAGAGGGTGGGTGGATGGTTGAGAGGGTGGTGTGGATGGTTGAGAGGGTGGGTGGACGGTTGAGAGGGTGGGTGGACGGTTGAGAGGGTGGGTGGATGGTTGAGAGGGTGGGTGGACGGTTGAGAGGGTGGGTGGATGGTTGAGAGGGTGGGTGGACGGTTGAGAGGGTGGGTGGACGGTTGAGAGAGGGTGGGTGGATGGTTGAGAGGGTGGGTGGACGGTTGAGAGGGTGGGTGGATGGTTGAGAGGGTGGGTGGACGGTTGAGAGGGTGGGTGGACGGTTGAGAGGGTTGCTCATTCATCTTCTAGGTCCCTAAGAAGCTCAGTGTTTTGTATTAGATATCTATTATGTAATTCCCCACCATCTTTCACTGTGTTTCTCCTATTTTGCTTCTAACATTGCTCATATTTATTGCCTCTTGTTCTTCAGATCCATTAATTATTCAATTTAATATCTACATTATTTTTTTCTTAGTTCAAAACATATTTTGTTTGTTGATCTAAAGTGTCAATTCCTGTCCCCAAAAAATTTACTCAAATTTTGCTGTTCCTTTGTTTATCAAATAATGATTCTTCAACCCTTTACTGGGCAGGACCGCGTGTGAATGGTCTTAAACACATGTTGTTTTTGCACTTGTCATACTACTACCACTGCACATCTGGGTTCCTGTTCTCTAGTTCTAGCCAATCACAAGCCTTCTGTGATTTGCTCCAGCTAAGTGGCAATGGCGTGATTGGCGTCTGCTCGCTTCCCACTGGTTGAGAGACCAAAATGTAAACACCCCTAGCTTGCCGTCCAGAGCAGTTTTTTTTCCTTGAGTTACACTCATATCCTTAGAGTTTACCCTCTGCAGTGTCGGTAAGTACTGATTTTTGTGACTAGTGCATAAATGAATAGTTTAGGCATATTTTGATATATAAGTAAAGTCCGAGTGAAACATAATGTGAGTGCACCATGCAATTGAAAAAAGCACAAGGAAAAAGGACCGCTCATAAATGGTCCTGCCCGTCAAGGCCAAAGTAGCAATCTCAGTAAATAAATATTTATAATAATTTTTCTAATGCATATATGAATTTTGTAGTGGTTTGGGTGTGTACTGAAGGTTTTTATTGTCATTCCAGATCAATGAGAAATTGTTTTATGGTGGTTCCTCCCAAGAGAAGTCCAAATATGTCTGCATTTTGGAGGAAAGTGACTCAGATCCAGAACCAGATGCCCTGGAATTTCTTGACAGTGGTGTTGAATACTTACCACTAGATGTAGAGGTGTCAAGTGATGAGGACCAGGAAGATAGGCCATCCAAAAAGCCTAAATTAGCCCAGGAAAAGAAAAACATTACAAACAAGGAGTACCCTGACAGAAAAATCATGTCACATCCTTATTTTCCTTTACCATATGCAAAGTAAACCATACCCCCGGCCGGGATTGAACCCGCGGTCATAGAGTCTCAAAACTCCAGCCCGTCGCGTTAGCCACTAGACCAGCTAGCCACAATAAGATTCATCCAACTAGGTATATTTCTACACCATAGGAAAGTTAGCACAGGCACCTCTGTGACCACAAATGCAAGTTTTTACAGACGAATCTCCAGCTAGCGTGGCCGTGACGAACTCTGCAAAGTAAATCTATGCATCAAGAAGGGAAACAATTGCTTCGTAGCCTTTCATTCTAGCAATTAGTGATCTAGACTGGTTATTCTTTTTCAGGAAATTCATGAAAATGGAACTTGTAAGTTTTATCCCTTTGCAATGTTTGGAAACAAGCTCCATTTATATTTTTGATATTGTCTATTTGCATAATAAATTAGAAAAATGCTTATTTGGAGTTTAATTAACAATTGCAGCATTGCAACATTCAAAATTTGGCACCCTTTACCGGGTGGGACCACTTATAAGATTGTGTCGAATATTGGCAATTGAACGAAAACTTATTTTTAGAATTCCATTTACACAGGCTCATATTCCTTACATCGAGATACTCTATCGACTCATAGGAAACACATTTCGAATTTTTGCATTTTCCTAGGAGTGCCCGGTAAAGGGATTTATATAATATATATTATTTAAAGCCTACATTTTTTGTCAACCTTCCTTTTGTTTGTTGTATGGAATCTGAGTCCTGAGTTTGAGATTAAAAATCTGTTGAGTACACAGAGGGAACCAAGATTGTACATAACATGTTCACTACCAATCAAAAATAATTGCTCTCTAAAATAGGGAGTCAATTAAATTCCTGGTTTCTATTGACTGAGAGATACACATCTCTCGGTGTATGTGTCCCGTATGGCCATTCTCAATGCACTACCGAGAAGTATATCTTGAGGGTGTTCCGGGGGGTCAATGCCCCCACAGCCCGGTCCCTGATCAGGCCTCGTGTTGGATCAGGGTCTGATTAACCAGGCTGTTACTGTCAACTGCATGCAAACTAAACCACAGCACAGTTAATCAGGTACTGGCTAAATATCTGTCCAGCTCCCATTTGAAGACAGTCAAGGGTCTATTGGCAATTCCCCTTATGTATGCTGGGAGGCAGTTGAATAGTTCTGGGCTCCTGACATTTATTGTGTTATCTCTTAGTGTACTCATGGCACCCTTGCTTTTCATTGGAGTGATGTTGCACTGCCTGCGAGTATTTTGCTTTCGTAGGGAGTGATTCTCGTGTGCAAATTTGGGGCTAGTCACTCTTAGTGTGTATTATAAAGTATCGTTTTTTCGTCTGTGTTCCAAGGAGTACAGGTGAAAGAACCTCAACCGTTCCCAGTAACTGAAGTGCTTTATTGTCTTATTAATGCAGTGAATGTTCTCTGTATATTCTCCAGGTCTGCAGTTTCGCTTGCCTTGAAAGGGGCCATTAAGGAACAGCAGTACTCGAGCCTAGGACGAATAAGCATTTTGAAAAGAATCATCATTAGCTTGGCATCTCTAGTCTCGAAGGTTCTCATTATCCATCCTATTATTTTTCCAGCAGATGTGGTGGAGACATTGTTGTAGTCTCTGAAAGTGAGATCCATTGACATTATCACTCGCAGGTCCTTCACACTAGTTTTTGCTTTATTGAGTGGTTGGAATTTGTTTTGTATTCCAATCTAGTTTGTATTTCTTCGAGTTTTCCATAGCGGAGTAATTGTAATTTGTCCTCAATGAACTTCATATTGTTTTCTGAGGCTTTTAAAGACTTAGTTAACGTCTGCTCGGAGACATGAAGACGTGGAAGGGAAACGTGGATAATATTTCGTTTAGGTAAAGTATGGTAAGTAAGACACATGGGCAACAGTTAAATATCTTTATTCCGAAACGTTTCGCCTACACAGTAGGCTTCTTCACTCGGGTACAGAAAGTAGGCAGAAGCAGTAGAGATGTGAAGACGATGTAATCAGTCTTACTTACCAACCTGTCGGTATTATATACCATTTTTATATTCACAAGGTAAATGATACTTCTACATTATGACTGTGATTATTATTTATTCACACTCATTAACTGTACAGTTCTCAAAATAGCTAAAATATGGTCATCCTGGAAAGAACATTCCCAAAGTAGTCTGAATATTAAGTCTGTGTGCTAGCCTTGTGGCAAGCAATACTTGGAGCTCCCGCCACCTCCTAGGATGGGCATCCATGTACTGAACGTTGCCTGAGGCACCTAGGACAGTCCAGCAGCCACACACGTGAGTGTTGCCTAAGGCATCTAGGATGGACGGCCACTTAGAACGGCCCTGCTGATTGTTGCCAAAGGTGTATAGGACAGTCAGCCATTAATACGTGTTGACCGAGCGCACTCAAGAAAAACCAGCAGCCACATGTGAGTGTTGCTTAAAGCACCTATGACGAACCTCGCAGCCTTGCAGCGAGTGTTGCTTGATGCACTTAAGACAGGCACTCAAGTGCTGCTTGAGCTGCCGTATCCAAAATATGAACCATGGTACGTGGAACTTAACACACTGAGTCCAGACACCCTTGGCAATGTTTTCAGTGACAAATTTCAGATGCTTTGTCTTACGAAAGTGTTACACAGATATTTTTGCTCTAAAATCAAATCTAATTTGGCTTTAAACACGTCACCTGAAACATTGGTTATTAGCATATAATTTATCGAGAGCATTGGCCAAAATATGATGTAACGAAATTGCTGACCGAGAATTGATCAGTCAAAATCATTGGCTAAGGCCTCCTAGGTACGGACAGCGCCATCTATTGGAGGTGACTGTCTCAAGTTTATTATCGCAGTCCTTGAAAATGGTGCATCAGTAGAGCAACGAAACCTTAGGTCATTAATATGTGGATACCAAATAAAATTCAGTCTAAATATTTTAACTAGACGTCACAAAGCAGTAAGAGACCAGCTGCCTAGAGGAACACTAACATTACAAAAGTGTGTGTGTGTGTGTGTGTGTGCTTTAGAGTGAGAGAAAAGGATACTAAACACTGACAATACCACAATAAACTGTGGTCATGATCCATATTTTTGTTACCACATTACTATTAAGGAGGTGCCGCTTTAGCTAATAAAAAATAATTGTGTAACAGATTGTTGGCAATAATACTATTTTATTATTTATAGTTGTAAGTTCCAACATTATTTTCTGGTGAAAATGCTAGCGAAAATTAAAACAAATGACGCTGTTGATTTGACACTGCAACATGCATTTCGCACAGCTCCACAGTGTTGACCTTCCCACAAAATTTAAACATTTACACGGTAATACTTTCTACCTTCACGTTGTTTTTATTTTTTAGAAGACGTCAGAGAAGTCTGAAGGTGTGTTGTCGAACCTGTAATATATAACAGTCTTAGATCTGTACTTCGAAAATTCTTGTTTTTTTTTTTAAATTTCCAATGCAACTCACGTAACTCAAAGTTGAGAGCCACAAGGCAGATTCAGATTGGCATATGAAGAGCTCTTCGTGTCATTTTACAGGAGTACAGCGAATTGGGGCCAGAGCATCCGGCTCTCGGGTCCCAACGAGTCCAACTAGGGGCCGTCGTTACACTGGACACTAAAGTCACATCCTGCTCCAAAACTGTCTTGTTCTGTTGTCAGTTTTGTCGATGGTTATAGAGTCTTACGGGAAAATTATCAGAAGATAAATCTCATGATCACAGCATATCAATAGGGTGTTGTCTTGGGTTCCATGTGGTAGAATTAGTGAAGGACACTCCTGATGTCCTGACCTTGCCTGGGTCGGCCCTGACCGTGTTTCTAGTCCTGGTGATGGGACGGTCCTGACTAAGGGTTGTGACCTAGTGTGGGACGGCTCTGAGGCCCTGACTTGATAACAGACGGCCCTGAGTGAGACCCTGACATGGTGTGGAATGGCCCTGAGTGAGGCTTTTGTTCTGGCCCGAATTTGCTACATAAAATACAAATGCATAATTATGTAACTTACATCACTACCATCTACTGGAGGACAAAAAGTTGCCGCATTTTTTGCATTGGTTTTCCAAAAATCCAGCAAAATGCTGTGCTATAACGTCGGAGCAGTCATGGCTAGCATAAAATCGCAAAAAAATATATTTATCAGTTCAAAATTATTCACCTGAACACAAAGAATATAACGGACAAGCATTCTTCAGGAGATAGACTACAAATATATATATTCTTTCAGCAACTGCGGGTGATCCTTCCCCTCTACCTTCCATCATGGAGGAGTTGATCAGCCAGTGACCTTTATCGACTGAGAGGCAATTCTTATGATATGCATTATCCAGTGTTTGGCTGTCGGAATATCCCTTACAAAAGAGAAAAGCTTGTTTGGGTAAGTCCTCAGAGGCATATCACTTCGTTTTTAGAAGCAAAGCAATTCATTATGCAACAGACGCGACGCGAGTGTAATCCTAGGACACGGTGGGCGGTGTTGTGGGCGTGCGGGCGTGTCGAGGGACGGCTCACTCGCCCAGCACGTCCATCATGAGTCTGTTGAAGGAGGCCGTCTGGGCAATCTTCTTCCTTCCACCGATGGCGTTCGTCTGCAAGAGGACAATGCGTCAGAGGACACAGGGAAGCAAGCGATCATTATTGTGTTCCTACCACCTCGGCGAGCACTCCAGCACACTCGGTGCAAAAATCATAACATTGACGAAGATCGTAACAGTGAACAAGCCTATTTGTGGAGTTTCACGTAAGTATCAATTAAGAGTAATACAGCAAGTAATCAAATGAACTATTACTTAATTCTATATCACAGTGTGAGTGTTGAGTAATGAAAAGTTAAGGTCCTCTTTAGTTTCTGTTTCATAAGCTAACTGTTTCAATCACTGAAGATTCACATTAATAATTTGACATAGTGATCTATTCTCTAGTTGTTAATAAGTAACTATAAAAAAAAGCGTCAGTTTATCTACTCGTTTCTGAGCCAACCTGAAACATAAATCATAAGTCTACAAAAACAACCTGAAAGAACTAAAACGAATAAGCATTAAACTTAAATTCGACTAGGGATAAAATACCTTAAAAAATAAATAATAAAATCTGCAAGAAAAGATGTAACCATAAACCAGAGACGGACTGGCCTGAGACAAGCCAGATGTAGCGGGGACTGCTGGAGCTGTGCTAGTGTCATGCGGGGACTGCTGGAGCTGTACCAGTGTCTTGCGGGGACTGCTGGAACTGTACCAGTGTCTTGCGGGAACTGCTGGAGCTGTACCAGTGTCCTTGCGGGGACTGCTGGAGCTGTACCAGTGTCTTGCGGGGACTGCTGGAGCTGTACCAGTGTCTTGCGGGGACTGCTGGAGCTGTACCAGTGTCTTGCTGCTCTGTGTACTGCCTTGCTGCAATAGTAGTCTTGGTGTTGTGTGTACTGCCTCATTGCATTAATACCTGGTTAAAGTGTGTAGTGGCTTGATGCAGGAGCAGGTGTTGCTAGTGCCTTTTGACATCTTACCTCTGTCCGGCCATCAGTTAAGCTCACGAAGTGGTGAGAGCAGGTGGCACCAGCAAAGATACCATCGTTATTATTATTATTATTATTATTACATTCGTGTATTAGGGCTAAAACCGTAAGAGTCATAGAGCGTCTAAGGAATGAGAGGTAATCAGGTCTGATCCTAGAAAGGGTAGCTTCAATTCCTTGCATCAAGAGCTCTTTAACAGCATCAAGGCACCTCCCTGAAGTGACACTAGAGTACAGCAGTACACAGGCAAGTAGCAGCAGGTAGTGCCATAATGTTATGCCAGCAGCAAGTGTGAGCACAGTCTGGCACTTGTAGCACTAGTAATGTACACCTAAAAATCATTCCAGAAATGACAAAGGTACGTAACACCAGCAAGTACCACGTAACACCAGCAAGTACCACGTAACACCAGCAAGTACCACGTAACACCAGCAAGTACCACGTAACACCAGCAAGTACCACGTAACACCAGCAAGTACCACGTAACACCAGCAAGTACCACGTAACACCAGCAAGTACCACGTAACACCAGCAAGTACCACGTAACACCAGCAAGTACCACGTAACACCAGCAAGTACCACGTAACACCAGCAAGTACCACGTAACACCAGCAAGTACCACGTAACACCAGCAAGTATCACGTAACACCAGCAAGTATCACGTAACACCAGCAAGTACCACGTAACACCAGCAAGTATCACGTAACACCAGCAAGTATCACGTAACACCAGCAAGTACCACGTAACACCAGCAAGTATCACGTAACACCAGCAAGTATCACGTAACACCAGCAAGTACCACGTAACACCAGCAAATATCACGTAACACCAGCAAGTACCACGTAACACCAGCAAGTACCACGTAACACCAGCAAGTATCACGTAACACCAGCAAGTACCACGTAACACCAGCAAGTACCACGTAACACCAGCAAGTACCACGTAACACCAGCAAGTACCACGTAACACCAGCAAGTACCACGTAACACCAGCAAGTACCACGTAACACCAGCAAGTACCACGTAACACCAGCAAGTACCACGTAACACCAGCAAGTATCACGTAACACCAGCAAGTACCACGTAACACCAGCAAGTATCACGTAACACCAGCAAGTATCACGTAACACCAGCAAGTACCACGTAACACCAGCAAGTATCACGTAACACCAGCAAGTACCTACGTAACACCAGCAAGTACCACGTAACACCAGCAAGTACCACGTAACACCAGCAAGTATCACGTAACACCAGCAAGTACCACGTAACACCAGCAAGTATCACGTAACACCAGCAAGTACCACGTAACACCAGCAAGTATCACGTAACACCAGCAAGTACCACGTAACACCAGCAAGTACCACGTAACACCAGCAAGTATCACGTAACACCAGCAAGTATCACGTAACACCAGCAAGTACCACGTAACACCAGCAAGTACCACGTAACACCAGCAAGTATCACGTAACACCAGCAAGTATCACGTAACACCAGCAAGTACCACGTAACACCAGCAAGTACCACGTAACACCAGCAAGTACCACGTAACACCAGCAAGTATCACGTAACACCAGCAAGTATCACGTAACACCAGCAAGTACCACGTACACCAGCAAGTATCACGTAAACACCAGCAAGTATCACGTAACACCAGCAAGTACCACGTAACACCAGCAAGTATCACGTAACACCAGCAAGTACCACGTAACACCAGCAAGTACCACGTAACACCAGCAAGTACCACGTAACACCAGCAAGTACCACGTAACACCAGCAAGTACCACGTAACACCAGCAAGTATCACGTAACACCAGCAAGTACCACGTAACACCAGCAAGTACCACGTAACACCAGCAAGTACCACGTAACACCAGCAAGTACCACGTAACACCAGCAAGTATCACGTAACACCAGCAAGTACCACGTAACACCAGCAAGTACCACGTAACACCAGCAAGTATCACGTAACACCAGCAAGTACCACGTAACACCAGCAAGTACCACGTAACACCAGCAAGTATCACGTAACACCAGCAAGTACCACGTAACACCAGCAAGTATCACGTAACACCAGCAAGTATCACGTAACACCAGCAAGTACCACGTAACACCAGCAAGTACCACGTAACACCAGCAAGTACCACGTAACACCAGCAAGTATCACGTAACACCAGCAAGTACCACGTAACACCAGCAAGTACCACGTAACACCAGCAAGTACCACGTAACACCAGCAAGTACCACGTAACACCAGCAAGTATCACGTAACACCAGCAAGTACCACGTAACACCAGCAAGTACCACGTAACACCAGCAAGTATCACGTAACACCAGCAAGTACCACGTAACACCAGCAAGTACCACGTAACACCAGCAAGTATCACGTAACACCAGCAAGTACCACGTAACACCAGCAAGTATCACGTAACACCAGCAAGTACCACGTAACACCAGCAAGTACCACGTAACACCAGCAAGTATCACGTAACACCAGCAAGTACCACGTAACACCAGCAAGTACCACGTAACACCAGCAAGTATCACGTAACACCAGCAAGTACCACGTAACACCAGCAAGTACCACGTAACACCAGCAAGTATCACGTAACACCAGCAAGTATCACGTAACACCAGCAAGTACCACGTACACCAGCAAGTACCACGTAACACCAGCAAGTATCACGTAACACCAGCAAGTACCACGTAACACCAGCAAGTACCACGTAACACCAGCAAGTACCACGTAACACCAGCAAGTACCACGTAACACCAGCAAGTACCACGTAACACCAGCAAGTACCACGTAACACCAGCAAGTACCACGTAACACCAGCAAGTACCACGTAACACCAGCAAGTAGCGCGTAACATCAACAAGTAGCACGTAGCACCAGTAGTAACACGTAATACCAGCAAGTAACGCGTAATACCAGCAAGTATCACGTAGCACCAGCAAGTACCACGTAACACCAGCAAGTACCACGTAACACCAGCAAGTACCACGTAACACCAGCAAGTACCACGTAACACCAGCAAGTACCACGTAACACCAGCAAGTAACACGTAGCACCAGCAAGTAGCGCGTAACATCAACAAGTAGCACGTAGCACCAGTAGTAACACGTAATACCAGCAAGTAACGCGTAATACCAGCAAGTATCACGTAGCACCAGCAAGTACACGTAATACCAGCAAGTGGCACGTAATACCACCAAGTAGCACGCAATACCAGCAAGTACCAAGTAACACCAGCAAGTAGCACTAGTACATAGCACCAGCTAGTGTCGGAGTATATATGGGGAGGGTGGTGGTAGGTAGGTAGGTATAGGAGGGCGGGAAGGACAGACCTTAGGGCCTCCTGGTCTACGGGGTTGCTGAGCCTCCTGTAGCTGAGAGTAGTTGTAGTAGTAGTAGTAGTCATCCTGGAGGAGGGGTAAGCTGGTCAGAGCTCCACAACCTACACTCACCTCCGTCCACGATACTTGCATTACTTTACCACACCTCACACCCATCTAATTTACATTTTTTTACCCATACTTGCTGCCTCTCTCTAGACAACACTGCTGTACACCGTCTAAATCATGTCTCATACCCGTCTAAGCTCCATCTTTTACGCGACTGCAACGCACCAGGCGCTCATCTCAACAAATACTGATGTCTCAAAGCAAAACAACATCCCTGATTTTGCTTATCTCAGATGACTTGGTTTGTTGGTTGATTAGTCTTCAAGCTTATCGGCTACTCAGAGGAGTAGTTAGGCTGCAGGTCACTTGTTCATCACCAGTCAAGAATACTTTGCTCAAATCACCATTTTAGGAAATAAATTAGTGTATATAAACTGAAAGATTAAGTTAGGATAGGTAAGATTCGTCAGGAAACAGAACAAGTGTTTCCTGACGTGGGTCTTAGTCATATGACCCGTTGTTGGAGCTTTTGGTCGTCTGATCGAGGCCTTCCACTGGCTTACCCGTCCACCCTTTTGAAAATTAAGGTTATAATCATAAACACAGTAATGAAATAAGAGATACTCACTTCTATGTATATATATATGTTTTTAAAGAATATGTTGTTTTTATTTTTTATTTTATTTAAAAAAAAAGATTGTTCCCTGCAAATAAATAAGTAATACTGTAGTGATAATCCTGTGAGCATCCTGGCAAGAGGAGCATACTCACATTTAAAAAAAAATCTTGAATTCAATGCTTGTATAAGACTAAATTTGAAGGAAAAGTCTGGCAACTCCTGCTGTCAGCAGCAGTAATGACATGTACGTGGGTGTCAGCTGACTCTTGTGCACTGAGATCCTATCGAATGATTGGCTTAAGGGACTTTAATAACCCAAGGGTATCCTGTCTCTGGCAAGGTATGCCATTTAAATTAGTAAACAAGTGGACCAAACACTGATCCTTGAGGCACCCCGCTAGTCACCCCTGACCTAGTGTACCACATCTTACTTCATTACTTTAAAAAATCGCTATGCCCTAAGAAACTCTTCTTTTTCAGTCATCATTTCTACTTATTTTTTTGGTAATCCTCCCCCCCTCAAAATATTTTATTCTGTGGGTTTATTTACAAATATTTCAATGCAGAAACAGAATTATGCTCACTCTCTTATAGGATAAATTTGCTCTATAACATCTTATGAAGATTGAGACACTTATGCAACATATGGGAATCTTTAATCAGGAAACGTTTCGCCACACAGTGGCTTGATCAGTCCGATACAAAGTAGAAAGGGGTAAAGAGAGGAGGAGTTTGAGGTAATCAGTCCCTCACTCACTCCTCCTCTCCTTACGCCTTTCTACTTTGTATCGGACTGATGAAGCCACTGTGTGGCGAAACGTTTCCTGAATAAAGATTCCCATATGTTGCATAAGTGTCTCAATCTTCAACTTGTCGGTTTTTCAAACCATTCATCACACATAACATCTTATAGATGCCGGTAGTTGCAACACATGTAACTCCTCTTGCAGCCCATAACGTGTATTAAGATACAGTCCTTATTTATTTTCTATTATCTTTCTAAGACTTGTATATTGTCTTTTTAATGAGGTTATTTCCAGTTCTTCTAGTCTTGGTTATTCATATTTATTTTTAATTCCGGAATCTGTTTTATTTTTTAAAACGTTTTGGACAGCATTCTTGCCATTAATTGTCCATATTGCAGAAAGTTATCTTAAAAGTTAATCCTGGGTTCTTTCGTTTTCTGAGTTTTGTAAAAAGGCTGTGGCTCGTACGTTGGACTCCATGCGACCAGCAGTAACAGCCTAGTTGATCAGGCCCTGATCCACCAGGAGGCCTGGTCATGGACCGGGCCGCGGGGGCGTTGATCCCCGGAATACCCTCCAGGTAGACTCCAGGTAGACCAATTTGTATTTAGCATCTGATCTTCACATTCTTCCCTGATTTCCATATGTCAGCTCCCTGACTGACCATTCCTTCAGGACCCAGGTCCTCTTGTAACGTCTTCCTGCCTTGTCAGGTATTCATTAGCTTTGCATCCTCAAACAAAAATACGTAGGACTCTCGCCAGGCGTGTTGTTTACGTATATTGCGAACTGAACCGGCTCTTGTGGGCCATCACTCTAATATATGTTCATTCCAATTCCTCTTCCCAGACCTTCAACTGACTCTTGCAACTCAGAATGTTATTGATCCACCGAAGTGCTTTTCCCGTTATCCTATTTTGCTCTTAAAGTTTGAGGATTTTATTTGTGGGAAACTGTCAAATGCTTCTTAAATCTTAGAATTATACAGTCCGGTCATCCCCCTGTCTCTCTCATGCTGAATCTCTCTCTCTCCATATGGAAGTCCAATACGCTTGTAAGGAACGATTTATATTGTTAGGTAAATGGACACAGATGCAACAAATGCGACATTTTACTGTGGCAACGTTTCGCTCTACAGAAGTGATATATTACCATAGTAAAATGTCACAATAGTTGCATCTGTGTCCATTTACCTAACATTTTCTACGTAATTCTTCCATTATTATGATTTACCTTCTTAAAACCTGTCTTGACCACAAGCTGTCATGTGCCCCACCACTTTCCTTATTATCGTCATCACTACCATAGTACCACAGTTCACTGCTGCGAGTGTATCCTCTTGGTTGAATATTGGAACGTCATTTGCTGTTTTTTTCCACTCTCCGGAAGGTGCCCTGTCTCCATTGGCTTAAAGATTTTCACTGACCGCGCTTACAGATCTTCCGTTCCCTACCTCAGCACCCAAAGCAGTGTCTTGTTTGGTCCCATTGCTTTTGATGTGTCAGTTCTACTTAGTTTCTTTCCTTTGCTGCTGGTTCTTTGAGATTACCTTAGCTTCCTCAGTGACACTCTTATTTATCTCTTTACAGGCCCCATTGCAGTAAGCTCTCTTCCCTCAGTACTTTTACTTCGTCTTTTGGGTATTGGGTATTTGGGTATTGTTAAGGTGGAGTGGCTGGAGAAGTGCTTAAAAAGGTGAGATTTTCTTGCTTTCTGCTGTCGCTTCTACTAAGAAGGAATAATGACTGGGTTGGGCGCTCCATCACTCTCCTCTCCTCTCTATGCTACTCCACCAATCCTCTCATTTTACATCCCCTTGTTTGGTGAGCTCACAGCGTTGGTCCTTTCAAGTTCGATCCTGCTTTATGAAGACATTTTTACTGCATATCTTTCTAAGACATTTAGAGCTACTTTCGTAATGCTAGATAGCTGTGCTACAATAAATCACGGAACTTTACACACGGAACTTTATAACCCGCACATATGAGAGAGGAGCGTATGATGATGCCTCGGTCCGACCTGGACCATTTACAAAGTCACTTGCTATGGGTTCATGGCCCACTGGTTCCGTGATTTATTTTCACTCGTGTTATTACGATTTCGTGAGTTGTGTTGCTATAATTATTTTGACTAACCGCTTCAATCTACGACAGTACCTTCTGACCAGCTACAGACACGCTCAACTACACGGTCTCCTCAGGACCTATGTCGACAATTCATATTTCTAAATCATCATTATTATAACATTCATGCTTCGTTTCACCTGCCTGGGAAGCTTGTTGTCACTCCATTTGCTGGTCTGGGGAAGCTTATTGTCACTCTTGCTTGCTAGTCTGGGGAATCATGTTGTCACTCCAGCTTGCTAGTCTGGGGAAGCTTATTGTCACTCTAGCTTGCTAGTCTGGGGAATCATGTTGTCACTCCAGCTTGCTAGTCTGGGGAAGCTTATTGTCACTCTAGCTTGCTAGTCTGGGGAAGCTTATTGTCACTCTAGCTTGCTAGTCTGGGGAAGCTTGTTGTCACTCTAGCTTGCTAGTCTGGGGAAGCTTGTTGTCACTCCAGCTTGCTAGTCTGGGGAAGCTTATTGTCACTCCAGCTTGCTGGTCTGGGGAAGCTTGTTGTCACTCCAGCTTGCTGGTCTGGGGAAGCTTGTTGTCACTCCAGCTTGCTAGTCTGGGGAAGCTTGCTGTCACTCCAGCTTGCTAGTCTGGGGAAGCTTGTTGTCACTCCAGCTTGCTGGTCTGGGGAAGCTTGTTGTCACTCCAGTTTGCAGGTCTGGGGAAGCTTATTGTCACTCCAGCTTGCTAGTCTGGGGAATCATGTTGTCACTCCAGCTTGCTAGTCTGGGGAAGCTTATTGTCACTCTAGCTTGCTAGTCTGGGGAAGCTTATTGTCACTCTAGCTTGCTAGTCTGGGGAAGCTTGTTGTCACTCTAGCTTGCTAGTCTGGGGAATCATGTTGTCACTCCAGCTTGCTAGTCTGGGGAAGCTTATTGTCACTCCAGCTTGCTGGTCTGGGGAAGCTTGTTGTCACTCCAGCTTGCTGGTCTGGGGAAGCTTGTTGTCACTCCAGCTTGCTGGTCTGGGGAAGCTTGTTGTCACTCCAGCTTGCTAGTCTGGGGAAGCTTGCTGTCACTCCAGCTTGCTAGTCTGGGGAAGCTTGTTGTCACTCCAGTTTGCAGGTCTGGGGAAGCTTATTGTCACTCCAGCTTGCTGGTCTGGGGAAGCTTGTTGTCACTCCAGCTTGCTGGTCTGGGGAAGCTTATTGTCACTCCAGCTTGCTGGTCTGGGGAAGCTTGTTGTCATTCCAGTTTGCTAGTCTGGGGAAGCTTGTTGTCACTCCAGCTTGCTGGTCTGGGGAAGCTTATTGTCACACTAGCTTGCTAGTCTGGGGAATCATGTTGTCACTCCAGCTTGCTAGTCTGGGGAAGCTTATTGTCACTCTAGCTTGCTAGTCTGGGGAAGCTTATTGTCACTCTAGCTTGCTATTCTGGGGAAGCTTGTTGTCACTCCAGCTTGCTGGTCTGGGGAAGCTTATTGTCACACTAGCTTGCTAGTCTGGGGAATCATGTTGTCACTCCAGCTTGCTAGTCTGGGGAAGCTTATTGTCACTCTAGCTTGCTAGTCTGGGGAAGCTTATTGTCACTCCAGCTTGCTGGTCTGGGGAAGCTTGTTGTCACTCCAGCTTGCTGGTCTGGGGAAGCTTATTGTCACTCCAGCTTGCTGGTCTGGGGAAGCTTGTTGTCATTCCAGCTTGCTAGTCTGGGGAAGCTTGTTGTCACTCCAGCTTGCTGGTCTGGGGAAGCTTATTGTCACTCCAGCTTGCTGGTCTGGGGAAGCTTGTTATCACTCCAGCTTGCTAGTCTGGGGAAGCTTGCTGTCACTCCAGCTTGCTAGTCTGGGGAAGCTTGTTGTCACTCCAGCTTGCTAGACTGGGGAAGCTTGTTGTCACTCCAGCTTGCTAGTCTGGGGAAGCTTGTTGTCACTCCAGCTTGCTGATCTGGGGAAGCTTGTTGTCACTCCAGCTTGCTGGCATGGGGAAGCTTGTTGTCATTCCAGCTTGCTAGTCTGGGGAAGCTTGTTGTCACTCCAGCTTGCTAATTCTGGGAAGCTTGTTGTCACTCCAGCTTGCTGGTCTGGGAAGCTTGTTGTCACTCCAGCTTGCTAGTCTGGGGAAGCTTGTTGTCACTCCAGCTTGCTAGTCTGGGGAAGCTTGTTGTCACTCCAGCTTGCTAGTCTGGGGAAGCTTGTTGTCACTCCAGCTTGCTGGTCTGGGAAGCTTGTTGTCACTCCAGCTTGCTAGTCTGGGGAAGCTTGTTGTCACTCCAGCTTGCTGACCTGGGGAAGCTTGTTGTCACTCCAGCTTGCTAGTCTGGGGAAGCTTGTTGTCACTCCAGCTTGCTGACCTGGGGAAGCTTGTTGTCACTCCAGCTTGCTGGTCTGGGGAAACTTGTTGTCACTCCAGCTTGCTAGTCTGAGGAAGCTTGTTGTCACTCCAGCTTGCTAGTCTGGGGAAGCTTGTTGTCACTCCAGCTTGCTAGTCTGGGGAAGCTTGTTGTCACTCCAGCTTGCTAGTCTGGGGAAGCTTGTTGTCACTCCAGCTTGCTGGTCGGGGGAAACTTGTTGTCACTCCACTTGCTAGTCTGGGAAGCTTGTTGTCACTTCCAGCTTGCTAGTCTGGGGAAGCTTGTTGTCACTCCAGCTTGCTAGTCTGGGGAAGCTTGTTGTCACTCCAGCCTGCTAGTCTGGGGAAGCTTGTTGTCACTCCAGCTTGCTAGTCTGGGGAACCTTGTTGTCACTCCAGCTTGCTAGTCTGGGGAAGCTTGTTGTCACTCCAGCTTGCTAGTCTGGGGAAGCTTGTTGTCACTCCAGCTTGCTGGTCTGGGAAACTTGTTGTCACTCCAGCTTGCTGGTCTGGGAAGCTTGTTGTCACTCCAGCTTGCTGGTCTGGGAAGCTTGTTGTCACTCCAGCTTGCTGGTCTGGGGAAGCTTGTTGTCACTCCAGCTTGCTGGTCTGGGAAGCTTGTGACTCCCACTTGTGACTTGTTATGCTAGCATGGAAAAGCTTGTTTTGGCTTCTAGATCGTCTGCATAAAGTTAGGTGAATATTATCCCAGAATGAGAGCATGACTGTCTCCATCACTACACTCTCATTGTCAGAAATTGTAGACCAATAACTTGTATAAGCAAACATTTGTATTTATTTAGTCTTTTGTATTTAGCCTTTTAACCAGCTGTGGCCAGACTCATGTCATGAACAGTTTTGACATGTTATGGCCTGACTCATGTCATGAACAGTTTTAACATGTTATGGCTTGACTCATGTCATGAACAGTTTTGACATGTTAGGCCTGACTCATTTTCATGAACAGTTTGACATGTTATGGCCTGACTCATGTCATGAACAGTTTTAACATGTTATGGCCTGACTCATGTCATGAACAGTTTTAACATGTTATGGCCAGACTCATGTCATGAACAGTTTTGACATGTTATGGCCTGACTCATGTCATGAACAATTTTAACATGTTATGGCCTGACTCATGTCATGAACAGTTTTAACATGTTATGGCCTGACTCATGTCATGAACAGTTTTAACATGTTAAGGCCTGACTCATGTCATGAACAGTTTTAACATGTTATGCCTGACTCATGTCATGAACAGTTTTAACATGTTAAGGCCTGACTCATGTCATGAACAGTTTTAACATGTTAAGGCCTGACTAAATGTCATGAACAGTTTTAACATGTTATGCCTGACTCATGTCATGAACAGTTTTAACATGTTAAGGCCTGACTCATGTCATGAACAGTTTTAACATGTTAAGGCCTGACTCATGTCATGAACAGTTTTAACATGTTATGGCCTGACTCATGTCATGAACAGTTTTAACATGTTATGGCCAGACTCATGTCATGAACAGTTTTAACATGTTAAGGCCTGACTCATGTCATGAACAGTTTTAACATGTTATGGCCTGACTCATGTCATGAACAGTTTAACATGTTTAAGGCCTGACTCATGTCATGAACAGTTTTAACATGTTAAGGCCTTTGACTCATGTCATGAACAGTTTTAACATGTTATGGCCAGACTCATGTCATGAACAGTTTTAACATGTTATGGCCAGACTCATGTCATGAACAGTTTTAACATGTTATGGCCAGACTCATGTCATGAACAGTTTTAACATGTTATGGCCAGACTCATGTCATGAACAGTTTTAACATGTTAAGGCCTGACTCATGTCATGAACAGTTTTAACATGTTATGGCCAGACTCATGTAAATGAACAGTTTTAACATGTTATGGCCAGACTCATGTCATGAACAGTTTTAACATGTTATGGCCAGACTCATGTCATGAACAGTTTTAACATGTTATGGCCAGACTCATATCATGAACAGTTTTAACATGTTATGGCCAGACTCATATCATGAACAGTTTTAACATGTTATGGCCAGACTCATGTCATGAACAGTTTTAACATGTTATGGCTAGACTCATTCCATGAACAGTTTTTAACATGTTATGGCCAGACTCATGTCATGAACAGTTTTAACATGTTATGGCCAGACTCATATCATGAACAGTTTTAACATGTTATGGCCAGACTCATGTCATGAGCAGTTTTAACATGTTATGGCCAGACTCATGTCATGAACAGTTTTAACATGTTATGGCCAGACTCATGTCATGAACAGTTTTAACATGTTATGGCCAGACTCATGTCATGAACAGTTTTAACATGTTATGGCCTGACTCATGTCATGAACAGTTTTAAACTGTCTTAAATGCACATCCTAAACCAGATTTAGTACATCCTGACTTCATGACGTCATTTAGTGAGATCGCAACAAAATAGATATATGTAAGTGAACATTTTTTAAACCTTCAGACTAAGAGAATATTTGTTATTGATTCCTTTAATTTACAATTAACGAAAAATATATATTCAAATATTTTTAATTTCCATTATTAATCTGAGCGAGTGATTAATTTTTGGGAGCTCACGTATCTAACAAGTCTAAAAATATTGTCGTCAGTTTTATATTTCTTGTAAATATACATTTATTAGCCAGAGATATACTTATGAATCATTTGCTAATGTGTATTAAACTAGAAAAATGACTAACCTCATACATTGGAATCTTCTCGCGATCGGTGGTTATGTGTTGGTTCACTGGCCTGCTCTCAGCTAGGGTGGCGGAGAGGACAGCAGAAAGACCCGTCTTGGGTGGACTCAGGAAACTTCGGGTCCTGGGGTCTATCAGCGTCTCACTGCTCGGTTTCATAAGGGTGGGCAAGAGTTCGGAGACCGGTGACCGTGGGCCAGGCAGCGCGTTGGTTCTAATTGGTGGTCTCTGGCCTGGTTTAGGGGCCACGGGCGCCGTGTACACTTCAGAGTAGATGGGATCATGTTCCTTCAGAGATGTGTAGTTTGCTATCTTCTGAGGATCGACTGGCGCGTCAGTTTCCTGAAGGGCGCGCCAGGTGGCACTTGACTGGGGATTATATTCTTTGGAAGGGTTGAGGATCACCTGCACGGGCTTGTGTGCGGGGATTGGGGTGCTAGGCGGAAAGAAAAAAAAAGGCGGAAATTATGCACAGGTTAGCATGCAACGAAATGCTCACCAATTAATAAAGACAGTACAGTAAAGTTCAGACATTATGATTAAACAGAGACAAATAGTCATTAATACATTATGTCTAGTTATAAACTTCTCTTTTTTAATTAGGGATCATCGATGTAGCCATTATCAAGTAGGGATTAAAATCAAATTGACAATTAGTGTCAAATGGGGCCGGCGCGTGCGCAGCTGCGCCATACTAAGGGTAAGACATGGTTACCAAATACAGCATAAATGGCTATATGATCATCTATATATTAGCAAGCTTTAGTGGCTAAGGTGTGGATGCTGTGCAAGGGTAAGGAAGGCGGTGAGGCTGATTAAATGGAGTAGACTTTGGATTCAGTGGGGCCATGCTCAGTGATGAGCTGACAGTTTTCTTCCTCGTGGATAATCTGCCAAGTAGCGCTCTGCTCTGGGTCATACGTCAAGGGCATTCCGCGGAGTCCCATGTGCTTCTGGGGCTTATTGACGCTGCACACACAACACCAGACAGCAGGGAAGGCAGCCACGCCAGACACAGCAGAGAAGGCAGCCACGCCAGATACAGCAGGGCAACCAGCCACGTCAGACAGCAGGCAGGCATACCCAACACCAGACACAGCAGGGAAGGCAACCACGCCAGACACAGCAGAATAGGCAACCACGCCAGATAGCAGGCAGGCAGGCAGGCAGTCCCAACACCAGACACAGCACACCAGACAGCAGGCAGGCAACCATAAGCCAAAAAATTGTACAGGCCAGTGAATGTACGATTCACGTTAATTGTTCAGAGTGAAAATTGAGTTAGTTTTAACGATGGGTTTGTAGAACAATGCGCAGGTGTCCACAGGTTATCCCAAAGGTAACGGTGAACATGGCAAAGGTGAGCATGGTAAAGGTAAGGTAGACACACAATGTTAAGTGCAGGGAGAACCAAATGAGAGAGAAAAATCGGCATAATAATATAGGAAATTACATTTTTTAAACCCATTTCAAAAACAAAAATGTTGAGCAAAATATTTGTTATAAATATAGGAAGGGAGCAAAGCCAAAACAACATGCGAGAGTACGTAATATGGACAAAATACAAAGTCTCAGACAAAATGAGGGGCGAATAGAGAGAATTATGGGTAAGTAAAGGTGGTGGTGAGGATGAACACAGGGTTAAGTGTAAGACGTGGATGTGACCGTGACGAGCGTTGTGCGGTGGTGACGGCGAGGACGGCCGAGGTGGACACAAGTTGTTGCGGTTGACGGTGTTACATCCGTCAGCCACCCAGGAGGAAACAGAGAGTGACAGAATATTAGTGAGTTGAGCTACAGCTGCAAGCGGGAAGTGCTGAAAAATCTACTCATGTGGCAAGAATATCGAATATTGGATTCAGGATGCTTTTGGCGAGGCCTCTCATTCCTACAGTAATACTTTTACCCGTGGAATGAGTCTCAAGGACTAACCTGAAACTAATACACATTGATCTTGCCACATTATTAAAATGCATTCCTCTTTATCATTACACCAAAACTAGTTTTATTGGCCGTATACATATACAATACGCCCTATAGTCATTAAAAAAACGTAAGTCATATACACTGAGCAGATAAAACATTCCTATAGTACTCAAGGTTACGACTAACAATGTATGCACGTAAACAGTCACTTTGACATGTAGATACTACAAGCACACAGTGGAGTACTAACATGCCCTAGCGACCAGTCTTCCTCTACCAGCAGCTTAAGATACCACACACAAACTTGTCATATTACTTACAAATAGCATAATACACACATACAAGATAGAGGCAGCCTATGATTTGTATTAAAAAGAATCTTAATACTTATAATAATACCCAAAGTAGCAGGATAAAAGTTGAAAACAGAGGTTCAAAAAACATATTTGTAATTATTCGAAAAAAAAATGGAAAATAAGGATATAATATAAAGTTTGTAAGAAATATATATATATATATATATATATATATATATATATATATATTATATATATATATATATATATATATATATATATATATATATATATATATATATATATATATAATATATATTCAACTTACCGGCTGTCTCCCACCACAGCAGGGTGACCCAAAGTTTTTCGTCATTTTACATTTAGTAATGTAAACGGGACAAGGGAGTTACTAGCTACTTGCTCCCGGCATTTTAGTAGCCTCTTGCAATGCACATGACTTAAGAAAGAAACATTCATTTGCTTTAAATCATCCTTTAGACTCCAGCAATTTAAAAATCCTAATAAATGTTCTAATTCCCTGGATCCTAGATTGTTCGAGTCTTTATTTTCACGTAAGTTGAAGCCAGAACTTAATAACTATGAAGAATCAATGCAACTCCTCACTGTTAACAGCCTTCCTTAGTCTACCTCTGAAGATGTGTTTAGGGGACACTTAGATATATAGAACTGGACGTCAGAACTTAATATCCAGGA